GGAAGATCGGGTATTTTTATTTAATTGTTTCCAAAAAATAAGCAATTTTTTTCTCAAATTTTGGTCCTGAGAAACAAAGTGAGTGGTTTTAAAATGATGACAATGGTAACTTCAGCACTTTGTTTCATACTGTTTTGTTATACAATTTGTGCTCCTGATGTTGTTTTGGTGTTCTGGTTATATAGCTTAGTCCAGGTTTGAGTGCTTATGCAAATAACCCGCAAGAAGCAGCCAGTTCCCTCGCTTCACTGCTTGATAAAGCTGAAAGTTCTGTACCTAAAGAGCTTCGACCAAAAACACCAGTCAGAGTTGGGGTGGGTAAAAAAATTCAAATCTTTTTTTTTTATTATTATTATGACTTGCTTGGAACTCGTGATAAATTAATTGAAGATCAAATGATGTAATGGGTTTACAACTCAACTTAATGATTTGTTGGGGTTGCTTAGTTACTGTATTTTCAATGTATATGCAGGCTACTGCTGGCTTGAGGGCATTGGGAATGGACGCATCAGATAGAATTTTGCAAGCGGCAAGTCTTTATTTGATAGTCTATATTTTGCTTGTTTTCTCATGTTTTGCCACGATATTGCGTGCTTATAGCCATTTGAACTCCATATTTGAAGGTTAGGGATTTCCTGAGAGCTAAAAGCACCCTGAAATCTGAGGCAAGCAGGGTCACTGTTTTGGATGGTTCTCAAGAAGGATCTTATCAGTGGGTATGTTTCATTGACTCTATTACACACCTACATGTTTGTATGTTCAAGTTAGTTACACTGATATTAGTATTTTCAACCATTTGAACCCCTTGTGACAATGCTGGCAATTCTAATGACTAGAGAATGATGACTAGGGTGTAATGGCATGCTATTTTGTAATAGAAGTATTAAAATACTATGTGGTGTCCCCATGCTCAGTTCAATCATAAAATAGTGGGAAACTTTCTACAATAGAACTAGCTAGGCAGTAGTTTCATAAATTGGAGATTACAAAGAAAAGTCCTGTTAAATTTTATTGAGTGCATCAAGTTGGATAGAAATGCTGTCCTCTTCTTATCAGTGGGTATGTTACATTCAAGTTAGTTACACTGATACTAGTATTTTCAACCATTTGAACCCCTTGTGACAATGCTGGCAATTCTAATGACTAGAGAATGATGACTAGGGTGTAATGGCATGCTATTTTGTAATAGAAGTATTAAAATACTATGTGGTGTCCCCATGCTCAGTTCAATCATAAAATAGTGGGAAACTTTCTACAATAGAACTAGCTAGGCAGTAGTTTCATAAATTGGAGATTACAAAGAGAAGTCCTGTTAAATTTTATTGAGTGCATCAAGTTGGATAGAAATGCTGTCCTCAGAAGAAGAAGGCTAATTCCATTTGCAAAGGCTTTCTCTGAAGAAGGCTAATTCCATTTGCAAAGGCTTCTCTTGAATTAGGATGAAAATATGAGCCTTCACGCATGAGTTTATGCTCAACATTAGTGAATCACTAACTAGATACGAACACTTACTAGATGACATTTGCATCACTCACCTATCTTGATATTTGGTCTTCCCTTGAACATTTCTCCTGCTTCTGTCTCTATTTACACTCCCCATTACATGTGCTAAAATGCACTGGATATCAGTTACGTGACCAGTTCATACATCATAGTACCTCTGCATTGGCTTCCACCCTGGTCTGATTGTGTGTTTGTGCTTTTCCTCTGGTGTCCCATGCTGACTTTGTGATCATACAAAGTGCAAATGTATTTTTTTATTGCATCTAGAAGGTCATGATGTAAAATATTGAATTAAGATGAGAATTTTTTTGGTCTATTCTGTCCTCAATATTATTGTTTGGTCTTTTCTTGCTTTAACTTGCATGCATTTTGCAGGTGACGATAAACTACCTTTTAGGAAATTTAGGAAAGACATATTCAAACACAGTTGGAGTTGTAGATCTTGGCGGTGGATCTGTTCAAATGGCATATGCGATCTCCAAGATGGATGCTGCAAAAGCTCCAAGGATATCTGATGGAGAAGATACTTATGTAAAGGAAATGTTTTTGATGGGAACCAAATATTACCTCTATGTTCACAGGTTTGGTTCATCACTAGCTGTGATTTTTCACATTTATCAGGCTGCAATAGAATTTTCCTACGTAGAAAAAGATTTTGGTACGGTTATTAGCTGTTCTATGGATATACAGTTGAGTATTTTATGACTGGAAATTCAAAATCTAATTTTGGCATCTTTCTCGTGCACAGCTATTTGCATTATGGTTTATTAGCAGCTCGAGCAGAAATTTTGGATGCTTCAGAGGACTCTAGCAATCCATGTATCCTGGGTGGTTACGATGGTAATGAATTACTTCCTTTGTAAAAGGCCTGATGAGTTTGTCTTTGTTTTATCATGTTGTTTCATCTTCTTTTCTGATTTGAGGAATTAAGTTCTTGTTCATAATTTGTTGCTGCATAATTTGCTTTATAGAATATGAATATCCTGTGTATGATTAGAAGACATTAGTTAGATTGGTAATTTTACATGTTCAATCCTAACCATTTAACAAAAAAGAATATTTAAGAATTCAGCCAACATGCTACATGATACCATTAGATGTGCAGGGCACATGCAGTGCACGTTCTCCTTATTGTGATGTTTCCTCTCAGCTATTATTCCATTCTATATTTTCATATAATCAGTGGAAAAGTGGAATGAAAAGTTGTAATGATGTGTGGTATCTCATATAATTTAAATTTTAAAATATATTAGTAACTTTTAAAAATTTTAGACTGAATTTCAAAATGATGTTACAGCAAATCACTTTAGTAATTGAATTTCTTTCTGGATCTTTAAAAAGTAATATAATTAGATGTGGTTATAGTTCGTTTCTTTCTGGATCTTTAAGTAATATAATTAGATGTGGTTATAGTTCAAATAAGAACTATATCAAACACATGTATGGTGTTTAGATGATCAAATGGACTGATAAATGCCATCTCTCTTCCTGGCCTTCAAATTGTTTAAAGGGGTATACAATTATGGAGGGAAAGACCATAAAGCATCAGCTTCTCCATCTGGTTCAAACTTGGACGAGTGCAGGAGGGTAGCTCTTAATGCTCTCAAAGTTAATGAATCGACTTGTACAAGCATGAAATGTACATTTGGTGGAGTATGGAATGGTGGCGGTGGGGATGGACAAAAGAATATGTTTGTTGCATCATTTTTCTTCGACAGAGCTGCTCAGGTACTAGACATACTTGGGTTTCTTGTGAAATTCATTATAGGTTACAATGCCTTGTCTACAAATTTAGCATGCTAACTAGATCGTTTACATTTGTAGGCTGGTTTTATTGACTCAAGTTTACCAGTTGTCAAAGTTCGACCTGTGGATTTTGAGCATGCTGCAAAGCGTGCTTGTGGAACTAAACTAGAGAATGCTAAATCCATATATCACAGTTTGGATGAGAAAGATCTGCCATATATATGCATGGATCTGGTCTATCAGTACACATTGCTTGTAGATGGATTTGGTAAGTCCCTTGCACTTGAGTGAATTGTCAAGGTTCCTGCTAACTTTCACTCCTGAGAGTTGTGCTAAGATGATGTGTACTTATCCTTGGTCATTCTATGCCTACAGCTATGGATCCATTGCAAGATATGATGTTGGTGAAGAAGGTTCAGTACCGAGATTCCCTTGTGGAAGCTGCATGGCCACTCGGCAGTGCCATAGAGGCTGTGTCATCACCAGCGTAACTCTAAATTGCACTATCAGCTTTAGTCACCAAGGTGCATAAATTGCTCAGGATCAACATTTCCTAAAGCAAAGAACTTTGCATGATAGATATTGCTTCAGAGGTCCGTACAGAGTGGAAATGGAATTTTTTTGCCTATAGATTGGGAATAGTGGAAAGGTACAGCTCCATTCGTTATCATTTATGTTCAGCTTCCATATTTGTTTCATTAATATTGAGTGAATGATTCGATTCAGGTCATTTCGATTGCCCTCTGTATTTCCTTATCTTCTATTTTCGTTATTTAAGGCAAATTCTTTTATATGTGGTTAGCATTTCAAAACATATATCAATCTGAATTATGTGGGGGGATTGATGGAATTTTACATTAACGCGTTTCATATTGGTATTTAATTTGTTTTGACTAAATCATAATTCCGCTGGTTACTTTTCTATTTATTATTGTAACCTTCACTAGCCTGTTGTGAGTTCATTCTAAAATTTTGTTTCTCAAGCATTTTGAAGTGGGGAAAAAACTAGTGATACAGTCCAGATTGAAGCTCTATTCCGCTCAACTAAGTTGATCAAGTTGATCAGGTTTTCGGCCCAATCAATCAAAGTTAGTCTAGATCTGGTTTGGTTCAAAGCTTGTTAGGGTTGTCTAGTGGTAGCATGAGAGATATGTTTGGGTTTTATCTCGGGTTGGTTATGAAGCTCAATTATTTATGCGGTTTTTGGCAGCAAAAATTCTTAATTTAAAACGAGTAATTAATGTTCCTCACAAGGATTTTTCAAGTATCCTAGTGACGCAAGGAAAGATTGATGGCGGCAATATTTGTGTGCTTATTTTTGGGAAGCAGCTTTGATGTGATCATAAAAGGAGAGCAATAGAGGTTGCAGCGAGATAGGACATTTTCTTAGAAGTCTTTTCATGTTTTGTAACGATTCCATGCTATTCAAGGAAGCTAAAGGGGGGTAGTGTTTAAGGGATTTAATTCAGTAATTAAAGCACAAGTTTTCCTTAACTTATTTGGGACATCGGGGGTGGCTGCAACACCCTTATACCTTTTAGGATACTAATTTCATCTGTGAGGCTATGAGGAATTTTTAAGCAAGGAAGACACATGTTTTGGGTTATTTAAGTTGTTTCATGCTAAACCAAGTTATTATTTGAATTTTATATATTTTTTTCTTTTTTCTTTTTTCTTTTAAAACCCTATGGCTAGACAAAAATATGATTATTCAACAAAAATACAACTGAAGCTGCAAGATTCTATAGTTTATTCAACAAAAGTGCCATGAAATCTGAAAAGATTGGTTTAAATACCTCAAATAACTAGGAAACAACCAATCAGGAAAAATAATACGGCTAAAATCCAAAATTAAGAAGGAAGAAGTATAAAATATGGACTGAAACTTTGAGGGCCTTTGGAGTGAGATTTGGCGACTATGAGCATCGAACGGGCTTGGAGTGTGAAAGGAAGCTAAAGGGGTAGTGTTTGAGTGATATGATTTACTTTTAAAGACAATGATGAACTATTTTATTTTATCTATTTTTTTTTTTTGTTGTTATAATGACTTTAAAACTTTTAATAATGATTTTTTAGAATTATATATATATATATATATATATGTGTGTGTGTGTGTGTGTGTGAAAGCAAGGGAGAAAGCAAACAACTACAAGAACAGTGAGCCTGAGAGCCAAAATCTTATTAAAAAGAGATTTTTTTATTAAAATTTCTTTCCTTTTTTTTTAAATTTCAATTATTGAGTTTTTTTTTTTAAAAAAAAAGAAGTTATCTGTAATCATATTCTAATAACAATAAAAACTTATCTTGATTTTAATATATTTCATTTGAATGAGAGTTTTATTAAGATATTTTTCAATTTTGATATAGCAAAAAAAAAAAAATGGTTTGACCGGGTGAATTTGGACTGATTTAAGACTGTTTTAAGCTAAGAAATTGGTTTCTTGATGTTATAATAGTCTTTATTGTATGTTTTTAAGTGAAAATAAATTTAAAAAATAGTTTTTTTCTTTCTTTCTTGGAATACAATAAACCTCGCTTGATTTTTCAGTTGCCTCTTCAGCGGTCGATGATCCATCCATTGTAAGAAAAGAAAGAAAAAAAAAAAAAGCCTCAACATATAGACTTTGCAAGCTCGCACATGCCAAGGTTCCTTTTTAACGGACCAGGCATGCTTGGCAACCCATGTGTGCTCGCATGACCAATTTTACCTTTTGTTTTTTTGTTTTTGTTTTTATTCAATTTAAATTTAACTACTTTAATTTATAATGTATTAGTTATAATATTTTCTTAAATTAATTAATAATCTATTTGAGATATTACTTTATTAAATACCATTGTTTTTATAATATTAGAAACATTTTTTTTTGTATAGCCCATCATGATCTCTTTTATAAATTTCTTTCTTATAAATTTCATTTGATGGCTTCTCTACAAGTGTCTATTTTTACAATCAAATAATTTAATAAATTATTTTTTAAAAAATAAAATTATTAAATTTAGTTAAATCGATGATCTAAGTTTTAATATTTTTAAAAAACATCTCAAAATATTTTGAAGTTAAAACAAGTTTTGATCTATCGCTTGTAAAGTTAATTGAGTCAACATTATCTAAGTTTAATTCACGACTTGAACAAAATAAAACATAGAGTTGAGAAATGCATAAAACAGGTTTAATAACACTGCCAACAAATTCTCTATGGTAACATTAGAGCATTCTATTATTTTTGTGTTTTTTTAATACTTTTGCGAGGAACTCGTTAAAAAAAAAAAGTACATACAATCGAAACTTGTTTTCAGGGCAATGATGAGATGTTGAATAAGAAATAAATATTCTTGTCAATTTTTGTTTTTTTGAAAAATATTGAGTGCGTTAATTAGACAAAGGGTTTGAATTAGAGGAATATTTTTTTTCCCTTGTTTTTAAAAACATTCAAATTTTTTTGATTACGTGTTCTGATTGATTTTTCTTTTTATTAAATGAATGTAATGGAACAAAATGTGAGATTGTTTTATTGAAATTAAAAGTATTGATAAGAAAATGACGAACTATATACTATTAAATTAGTTTGTTTCAATAAAATTTAAATTATTATTTTATATAAAAATATATTACCTCACAATTAAATAAAAAAATTAAATGGCTCTCCGTACCACAAAATCTAATATATTAACCGGATTTGTTTCTTAGCTTTACTACTTAATTTTTAATTAGTGTTCAAAACTTTTTTTTATATATTTATTAGCATATATAATTTTTAATTTTTATTATATACGCACACTAAAGATTCAATCGAAACAAATACTTAACCATAATGTGTGAAGTTGGATAAAAATACCTTCATTATTAAAACAATAAAAAACCAAGCACAAAATTAAAAAAAAAAAGTTGCGGTGAGAATCACTACAAGTTCAAACAAACACAAAATTTATTTTATTAAAAGGAAAAGAAGACAGTCATATGCAAGCACACAACTTTCTTCCCCGTTTCTGTATTAATTATTCTTTTCTTTTCTTTCTATTTCTTTATATCAGCATTTAGTTATTATGTAGGACATAAAATATAGAGATATAGATCAATACGACAACACATTTCCTGTCCTTCTTGTTTTGTAAGAAAGGAAACATACTCCAAAACTATGATGATATACTTATATTATGTCAAGAAAAAAAGACAAAAAAACCTCAATCTCAATTGTTTGCTCGTTCCAAGCAACAATCACAATAGCATGACCAGAGTGATTTAGACTATATTTAGTAGTGTGGTTGTAATTATTTTTTAAAATATTTTTTATTTAAAAATATATCAAAATAATTAAAAAATATTAAAAAATATTAATTTTATAAAAAAATATATTTTAAAATTAAAAAAAATATAATTTACATCACAAGGAAGACACCATGAATGTGAACACGAGCTAAAAAAATATTTTAAAATTAAAAAAAATATATAATTTACATCACATTTTTAAAGGAAGACACCATGAATGTGAACACGAGCACCGAGAAAATTGAAGACTGACTTCCATTTTTGTTACTTTGAGACAACCCAATATCTCGAAATAGAAGTAGGAATGGTTTGGAATGAAAATGATGGCCCTCCCTGTACAAAAGAGTAACAAATATAAATAGAACATAATTATTAACTGCCAGATTTAGCTCCCATATTAGCCTCTCTTTTTTTAAAAAAAAAAAAAAGGGAAAGATGAATCCTCTATTGGGTATCTTTATTAGAAAATAATTTTTTTAAGATTTTATTGTTGTTAAATCCTCTAAAAACTTTATATTCTTAAATTATTATAAAACTTCCTATCCTGAAAACCCATAAATTAGTTCATTCATTCTATTGATAATAAAAGCATTTATTTTAAAATTAAATTTATTCATTAGGTAATATCATAACCTAATTTTTACCTTTTTTTCTCAAATCTATAAAATTTTGATTTAAAAAAATATTGCATTCAAAATTTTATAGATTTTTTTAAGAAAACATTTTTTTAAATGATCAAAATAAACAAAAATCACATAAAGAAGGGAAAATACAATTAAGGATAAAATCAAATAAATAATAATTTTTTAAAAGCAAGAACCGAGCCAATACAGGAGAAAAAGGCTAGGAATAATTTTGAGAGGCAGTTAGAAGCTTAATTGAAGAAAAAATAAAATTTATTCCTGCAATGCCATATAGTTAAGACAACCTTATTTTATAGGAATGATAATTTAAAAGGGTATTTCTTCTATAGAAATCGTAGAGTGTTCCTGTATGACCATAAAATTTCATAAAAAGGCTATCTTTCTTCATGGGAAATCAATATATATATATATATATATATATATATATATATATATATGAGATTATTTTGACCATTTTAATTGATTTAAAGTTTTTTATTGATCATGTAATTTTAGAAACAATGAAGAAAAAAAATATAAAATAGAGTGAACTCCGATGATCATGTGCCTTTGTATTCCCTAGGCTTTATAATTTTGGTCTTATATTCGTATATAATCAATTATTATACTATCACAATCATGTTTATGTGCATGCATAGTCATTATAATTATGATTATATGTATAATTATTGTTATTTTGTTTACTGATCATAAATTGTAACACATCTCATTCTCATAAAAAAAATAATTCAATTTTTTTGTAATTTTTATAATATCTTATTTTTCCCCAACTTGTAATAGTTTTTCTTTTATTGATTGAAATTGAATTTATAAAGTTTATATCCAAAGACTAAAATAATAAATAAATAAAAAATTAAATTTTTTTAATATATTTTATTTTATCTATAAATATCTAATTTATTTTTTTAATTATTATTGACTGAAAAAAAAACTATTGTATCACTTGATTTTATAATTTTATCAAGAAAATGATTAATTAAAAATAATAAAGGTTTAAATAATGTAGCTTCAACTCCTTTATTACCATAAGCTTTTGAGCAATTTACAAGATCTTGATTTGGATTGATTTAGCACAAGAGATGCTTTAATTAGAGAAATATCTTTTTTATTTGTATTTTATAAGGTTCAAGTATTTTTGAGTATGTGTTTCTAGGGGTGATCATTTTTTGTTTGATTCGGTTTTTATCAAAAAAAGTAACCAAACCAAAAAAAAAATTTGAAAAAAAAAATCGAAAACGAACTGAAACCGGGTCAAACCGACCGGTTTCGGTTCGATTCGGTTCGGTTTTTAGGGGAAAACCGGTTCAAATTGGTTTGGCTTATTTTTTCCAGTTTGGCTCGGTTTTCTGTGTTTTCTCGGTTTTGGCTCGGTTTTCCGGTTTTGGCTCGGTTTTTTTCCGGTTTTTTTTCTATTTCAGTTCGGTTCAGTTTTTCAGTTTTTTGGTTATAAAACTGAAACCGAACCGGCTGGTTTTTTCAAAATTTTAATCGGTTTAATCGATTTTTTTTCGATTCAGTTTTTTCGGTTATTTTTTTTCAGGTTTTCTCGGTTTAATGGATTTTTTGGTTTTTTTGCTCACCCCTATGTGTTCCTATTACTTTTGATTTTTATAAAAGAATGTTACATAACAAATATTTAGATTTCTTTAGTGAAATGAAAAATATTGGTAAGAAAATGAAGGACTATACTAGTATATTAGTTTGTTTCAATGGAATTTAAATTATTTCTCTTTTTTATAAAAACAATTACTACTATATAATTAAATAAAAGAATTAAATGATTTTCCTCTTCACAAAATCTGATATCTTAATCTAAAACTATTTCTTAAACTTCAGGATTTAATAATATTT